GAAGCGCTATGCTGAGCCAGTATAAGCAGAGCATACCTTGTACTTGGCTGGTTCTCCTGTAACTGGACAGGTAAGTTTAGAGCTGCTTTGTAACAACATTTGGCAATTAACTGCAAAAGCTAAAATAATTGATTTCAGGCTCTTTTTCAGGAAAAAAGTCATAAAGAAGACTTGTGAAATTGTATTTATATAGTATGATTCAAGTTCTTATTGCTGGTTGAATACTAGCAGATGTGGGTTTTGACACTTAAATGCATTTCATAGCAAAGAAAAAAACAGCACTCCATCCTAGCAAATTAATATTTCCTCAGCTGCTACAAGTGAACATTGTGACCACCAATCTCAAACATTCTTCTGATACTCATCAATTAGATCTGAATGCTTTCAGTACTGACAGACACCGAAATGATCAGAATCTATCTTTTCTACTAAAAATAAAAGAGTAAGTTGGAAAAAAAAAAAAAAGAAAAGGGAACATATCAATCTAGCTCAAACCAGAAAAGGCTCTGTACAGTAAGAAACAGGTTGATGGGCCTCCTTCTGTTCTCATTTAAGAATAAGTATTCCTTCCACGTGAAAAAGACTGGAACCAATCTGCATAAAACACACTGGACTCCAAAAAAATGTGTGGTGCTTACACATGAGGCCTATACAGCTTTAGGAAACCTCATAAATTCTCAAAATCACACAGAAGTGCATCATGCTCTTCCTCTCACCTACGTCACCAAAGTTGGTACAGGCGACAGGATTGTCTTCTTCCAAAATGAAAGGAATTCCAGCCTCTGGGAAAAGCATCAAATGCAGTCCACAAACCATGATGAGCCTTGTCAAGCAGTGCTCTCCCAGTCCTGAAATACTACTACACCGCAGCATTTGGATAGCATTATGATTTGTTATATTTATGCAGACCTAGATTCTCCATTCACTTAGGAAACAAAACTTTCTAAACTAGAAAAAGTCTCCTTTGTGTACATTCATTCTTCCTTTTATGCACTTCTTGTTTGGGATTTTTGTTTATTAAATTTTTAAGTTAGTGGAACACAAAGCAGATGTGAATTGAAGTACATGCCACAGAATGTGCATGATTACAGCCTTCTGGCTAATTCCAATATGCATTTCTGTGTCTTTCCAAGCCTCATTTTTGTTTACACTAGTTACTATTTATTCACTAATAGGATACAATACCATTCAAGAACAGAGTGATAAATACATTGACATTCAAATGACTAGAGCTTGCATCTTTCAGTACTGGAACTTGATTTAATAGGACACTGAACACGTTGATGTTTGGATAGCAAAGCAAAATCAAAAATCTGCTGCTACTGGTTGCTGCAATTTGAGAATGGAATTTAAAAGTCAAGGCTTACTTAAAGCTGGATTGCACATTGCAATCAAAGTCATAAACAGTAGAATATGACAGGAAAAATTGTAGCCTAACAGTGCTCAGGTCTTGCTGTATCTGTGCTGAAGTAGCATGCCGCATAGTCTGTGTCTGATCTGCTCAGTGGTTTTGCTACCTTATTAAAAATAATAGTCCTAGGCTTCAAAGACTGGTTTTCAGCTTGCTGTCACAGTAGCCTTCAGTGAATAACTAGCACAGATCATACAACAAAAGTTTCAACATCCACAGAAGAAACAGAAAGGTTGGCAGTAACAAGGGAACCAAACTGCTCTAGTGAAGGGCAATCATAGAAATTTCTCCTAAAAATTTCAGTCTGGAGTTCCATTAATAAACACAAAAACTGAATAAAAAGCATCGCCGGTATCTGCATCCAGTGAATAAATACATCTACCCTTTCCAGACACACTCAAATGGTAATGGTACCATAATGTTCAAAAATGTTAAATCAGGATTTAGAACTACATAAATCAACAAGGGAACTTTAAAACATAGCGTTTCTTTCCTCTCTATCCATCTCCCTCTCTGTACACACAGATATAGATAAAGACAGAGGAAGAAATAGACAGGTAAAGCATTTTTATTTAGCTATTTTTTAAAATCTATCTACCAGTCATAATGCCCCCATATCTTTATTATTATTTATCATAAACTATCTGCCTCTCTATTTGCCCATTTCCTGTCATTTAAGTACTTCTCCACTGTTTACCATATGAAGCTTGATTAAATAGAGTTTAAGGGCTGAAAAGGCATAAACTCTTTGTTATTCATTTTTGACACAATAAAGTACTACAATTTCTTACTTAAAGAACTGCTGCAGTATTCCTTCTCCAAAGACTTCTCCTATTTGGGCCAATAGTCTTTCATTGTAATGAGACTTGTGATCAAATAGAGATCAAAAGATATGGTATTCTCTTAGTTTTACAAAATCAGGTATTCTCTTAGTTAAAAGGAAGGTGTTAGAGGAATAGATGTTTTGGAGTGCTTTCATGCCTCTCTAAACCCAGTGAATTACACATTTGCATGGTCTCATCCAACCACAAAAGCCAAGTCACAGACACAGTTCTGCTGCAGGCAGTAGCAAGGGAAATCTTCATCCCTTGTACACCTTAGGGCATTGAAAGCACAAAACATTCTTGGCAGGAACTAATACACGGAGAGATATCAGACAGTGCTACTCATACTGCTAAAAGAGGGCCTTTTTACCTTGGTTGGAAGGAGAAAGAAAGGTAGAAAGAGCCTGGCACTAAGCGCTCAACTGAATGATTTTCCACAGAGATGAAAATCAGGCTCTAAAATTCATTGCAGCTCTGAATTCCATTAAGAGAACCCCACATCCCTCCAGAGCTCCTAGGGATCTAGGCTTTAGCCATAAATATGCACTTAGCCATGCTTTATATGATGCATAATGCAGGCTAGCTCTAAAAGACAGATTCAAAAGTCTGTAGATCTAATGAGTATTCCAAGTTTAAGTACTTTGCTGATCTGGACACTTGTTAAAAATGTTTACTCATGCACCTGGTAACTGTGGGCACACAGAGAGACCACATGCTGTATGGAAACATCTTTTATGCATGAGATATCTATATCATTTAGAATACTGTGTAGATCTTTGTTAAATTAAATACCAAAAGCCAAAACTCAAGAGCCTTCAAAGGCAAATTCTAATGAATGTCACACATACACTTAAAACCTTCCTTTGATGAAAGTATGAAAGACTCCATTGGATAGCAGGGGCAAAATAGACTGAAATTATAAAATAAATCAGTTTTCTCTCATGTTGAGTGTCCCCTGAAGCTCCTCTCAGCTTCAGAAATTGTATCCCCCTCCTCCAAAAAGCAATCTAAACAATAAAAGGACATCATGTGCCAGAGTGAATTTAAATATCTGGCAAATGAATAATCCAACGGGAAATCATACACATGCTCTCATGTAAAGTGATAAAGTGAAATGCTAAGGACAGCCCTGAAGATGAAAGTAATTTTGGGAATTTTGGTTAACAACCTCAAACAGTACTGACTCCAGGGAAAAGGCAGGCACAATGAAACAGGCAGCTCACATGAGCAGAGCTTACAGGGTCAGACCTTCAATTATTTTATGGTGAGAATGCTGTTTCCCAGATTAAAAACATCATTATTGGAAGCCTTAATAAAATTATTTGCATATATAAGGCTTTATTTTCATAAAATTATGCTTTTTGTAGTGTTATTAGATGCTCATATGATCCCAGTTCCTGGTGTCCAAGCCCAGTGGAAGCAATTACTCTGTTTCGGAGGCCACAGCACCCTTGGACTATAATTTAAATTGCTATATAATTCTCTGCCCATTTTTTAAAAATACAGAATACTTCTTAGAGCTCCATGTGTCAGTGGGATTTACTTTATTACCCTCTGGTAAAATTATTTATTGTTACTATTTATTTTTACAGAAAAATGGAGCTCTAAGCATCTCCTGCTTTCATTCCTACTGCACGCAGTACCTAGCAGGTACCAGGATGACCCACTGGCAGAGGAAGCCTTGTACCACGTGTTACTTGCTCCCTACAAGTCACTGCGTGTTGACATATTTTCTTCCACAAGAAATCCCTTACGAAGAGGACAGGATGGACAGAAAGAGTACAACAAGAAGATAGACAGAAGCATTTATACTCGGAACAGAAATGGGAGAAATTTCCTCCACTGCATTGCTCTCCTGCACTTTCTTTCCGTTCTTTACATTCTTCAGTCCTGGCCAGAGCCACAGACTAACTTGCCACAGCCGCCGTTAGTGACAACCCCAGACTTGTCAGACTGTTACACTGGAATTAATATCTCTTGCCACAGGTCAGTGTCATCTACTTTTGGCACCTTTATTCCTAGTATCTAAGTGCTACAGGCCTTTTCTGCTTGGTTTTGCATCAGGAAGCTCATAATCACAGTGCGTGTGATGACATATTATGTGCAAATCACCAGATCCTTAATAATCATTGACAACTAATGTGGTTTTGCCAAATGCTCAGGAGCTGCCTCCTCTGTCATATTTCAGCATCGGACGTGACAGAAATCCTCATTTGCTACCCATGCAGAAACCTGCGAGCGCTCCTGCAAGGAGGTGGGCAAGGGAGCAGCAGGAGGGAGCCGAGCTCCGCTTGCTCGAGGGCCAGGCGCGGGCTCCGTCCTCCAGCTCGTGTCCTGCCCGGAGGAGCCACCGCTCGTCTGGAGAAGTCACGCAACGAGGCCGATCTAAAGCCCTCCGCGCCACCGCGTCACACAACACACTTTGTGACAGGAATGATTTAACTAATTCAAGGAAGCGCCAACTTCTTTTCAACTTCATTGAAAGCGTTATTAATTTAGTACTTGCACCAAATTTCTGAGGTACACATACACTTGCATAATCACATACACACTCAGAAGAGGATTCCTAAGACTAAAGACAAGATTGCAAAGGAGGCCAGAAGTGCTATTTTCAAATTTTGTTTCCTATAAACTAATACTAGAACGACAGGTATACACAGTAGCAAATTATTAAAGCAGCTTATTCGAGTGAGAGGAGAATTTCCTCCTCATATTAACCCGTAGCATCTTTCAGACAATGATTTCAGTCAATAATCAGAACTTACCATATTGATTGGGTCAACCGGGCCAATGCTGTTAACATAGACATCTGTTTCAATTACCGTAGTTCTCACTAAACAAAACAGCAACCATAATAATTACAGATTTATATTATCAGGGTTATTTAACCTATCCATTAAATACTACAAACTTGATTTTTTTATATTAAAGTTAGAAAAATTAAGTCTCTGGTCTGTTGTCTGTTGCCAATGAATCATATATAAATTTGGCTCTTATTTCATACAAATTAAATTACAATTATCAAGATAAATTTTTGGTTTCTTAATTAACTACCATCTATGTTTTGTGCACACAAAGATATAAAAAATACAGAAGTCAAAGGAAGGAAAACAAAAAGAATACCTTGCAAAATAAAATACTATTTATAAGCAGAATGAAGAAAATATCTGGAAAAATGTTGGTTATATAACAAACCAAAGGGCTTAGGAGCAGAAGTATTTATCAACTGCAAAGGATCAATACGCAGTACTTTCTGTCGATTCCTATTTGAAGATGCATAACAAAAATAAAATAACTAACTTTTAGCCATAGATTTCTTCAGTTCACACAATTATATCACACTTAAGAATTATTAACGTCCTTTCATCAGCTTGATCAATACACTGATTCACACACCAAATTAAAAGCTCATCAAATGAAAATTATTCAAGTTACACATTTCCATATTTATTTTCTTTAAACAGAAATGAAACCACTCTTAAATGACTGAAAAAAATGTCGTAAAAATATCATCTTCTTAAAATGTAGGACATTTACAGCAAAGCTCAAATTATAAATGACTTCTCATGAATACCACATGCAGCATAAATGTGTCACTGATAATTCAGTTGCTTCCTCCTAAACTGGTTCCTATAGGGAAAAAAATGGTGCAAAAAAAAGAGGTCAGGCCTTTGCACAAGAAAGGTCTGCACGCAAAAATCATCAATATATGATTTTTTAAAAACACTTGTACCAGAAAGCAAATAGGACTAAATGTGGACACAAGAGGACACATCACGTTCTAGTCCCCAGTGGCATGAAACGCTGCTGGTCTTTCTCCCATGATTTAATGTTAAAATGAAGCCTCTCTGCCCATCCGTGGATGGAAAGGGGAGGATATATAAGAGGTACTACTTTGATTTCACAGGAGAGAGACTCTACATAAACAGATTTTATATCTTCATACAGTAAACAAAGATGACCCAAATGTTCTTTAGCAAACCTTAAGTCCTAAGCAACACAGGCTCAAATCTCAAAAATCTAAAACTATGTCACATAAGATATCTTTCCTAAGTATCCTACAAAATCTTGTCCCTGCCATTCTCATTGAGAGGAAATTCTTCCTGATTCCAAATCTGATTATTGCTGAGCCTGAGCACAAGACACACCAGTCAGGCAGCATCAAAAACCTTCTATGCGACCTCAGAGCACCAAGGTGCTTGTTCACCATCCTGTTCCCAGCATGCTTCACAGCGACCCTGGAAACCAATTTATTTCTTGGAGGGAAAAATAAATACTTCCTGAGCTGCAAATGTTCTAAGCAACTGCCGGGTTTGGGAAGGAAAGAACAGAAAATCCACAAACTGAAACACCAGACAAAAATAATATATGTTTGCGCATGCATGTGTATGTGCAAGCATTTATATGCACACACATATATATGGTATATATCTGCATAGCATATAGCTAGATATGTGACATAAACACATACTTTCATTTTGCAATCTTATATGTCTATGCAACAGCAAAACTCAATCAGTGCCTGACTGGAAACACAAGGGAGTGGTTCAAAGCTATCTTGCCTCTGCTCAAGCAATGCTGAATCCAGTGCTTCTCCCATGTTCATGAAAAATGATTAATCCTCCCTAGTTCTATAAGGTCACTTCTCAGACTTGACTTCACTACGCTGAACAGTTTAAACTTCATGCTGCACGTGGAATCCACAGACAGCCTGTTCAGCATTAACTTTAGAATTCATTCTGTTGTTCCCAAATGCATCCTGACATGTGGACACCAGAACTGAAAATTTTAGAAACGGTGTTATCAGTGCTGCATGAGTACTCCCAGATTCCTGCTCACTGTGTTCTTTTTCAAACGCACAAAATTTCTCAGGACAATGCTCTGGGGCAAAAATGCCCAAGAATTCATACTACTCAAAATACCTAAGCCTTTCTCTAAATCACAGCTTTTTTGTGCAAAATCTCCCACCTTGAAATACAACTCACAAGCTTTCTTCCCACTTTTTTGTTTTATCATCTAGCTCTTGCTTTTAAAAGTCTCCAGCTTTACCAGAACTATATAATTACTTTAGTAGTACGACCTCTTCCTTTCCAACAGTCTGAAGTCCAAGTGACTGAAAGTCACCCAGCAATTTTACTACAGAACATAATTACTGCAGTCATTAAATACACTGTTATTCTTGATCAAGACTATTTCTTGTGAGATCTCACTAAGGACAGCCCTTCCACTGCTAATTCACTGTAAACAACTACATTTTGAGGTCAGTCACTAAGGCAGCTTCTAATGTGAGCTGTGTCAGCCTTATATAGTTCCAGCTTGCAGTGAGCAGTACCTGATCTGCCACAAGGGCTCTCCTGCCATGTGTCAGAGAGTTCAATTTGTCTTTTTTGTACTCCTAAGAATAAGACTATTAGGACTATTAAGAGTCAGAGTAACCTGAAACAGTCAGGTTTTCAGGCCTGAAAAGAGTCAGGAAGAGTCAGTCTGACAAAGGTGGCTCTGTTGAAATTATTTTAATCAACCCAAATGATCTAGAGAGACTGTCTGACATTAGATCTTCGGAATCATGCAGACTTAGGTGAATTAGAAGAAAGAGTTGATTCGCCTCATGTTCTTCAACTAGAAATAATTCCAGTTCTTGGAAATAACAAAAGGTGGAGAAAACATTTTCTTGATACTAATGGCATCCACGTAAATACTCTTCTTCAGCTACTGCACACAAAGAGCTAACAGTGAAAGACAGTGTGAGAAGATGTTTCCATACTGAATACTTCTCATTTCATAGGTAAAGTATTAGTAAGAGCCTTGAAAACATTATAGGAATGTTGAACTTATAGTTCATTATAGTAACTTGAAAACGAAATAGGAGAAAGGCCATTAAAGGCCATTACATGCTGAGTAAAGAACAAAGCGGTACTGTAAACTTACAGAAGTTTCTAAGGAAAAAGGGGAGAAAACTCTAGCGCACTTCAACTACTTCCACTGAGAGACAACATGAGCCCAGACAGAGTAAAGCGAGAGGATGCCAGACCGTGTACTAAATAGAGACAAAGAGGAGCTCTGAAGAACAGCTGGCCCCAAGTGATAGTTCAGTAGCTCCCACAGCAGCTGAAACACCAAGGCAAAGAGCAACCCTGTTTGGTAAATGCAATTTAGAAAAAAAAAATGCACTCTGATTTCCTGCTTTGCCTGCTTTTAACCTCTTGCTAGACTAAGCTCTGCTTCTTTAAAAAGTTCAGCTTTTGGTTATATATATGTCCTAGCGTAGGAACAGAGATGAGGAGGAGCCAGCTTCAAGAAACAACAACTGTAACAAAATTGGTTCTTGTGCCTGGGATTTAAAGCAAAGAGTGAACTTCCCACCAAGCAACAAGATGCAGAAAGAAGTATTTCGTGGAAGGCATGGACAGGTATCCAACCAGGAAGGCACAAAGGGTTGACAGGTAGCACAGGCGCTAGGTAATCCACAGTCTCCCAGCCTTTGGGCATATTTTGAACCCCTATTTCAAGTTCAAAACCTGTATTTTGAAAAATATTAACTCTATATTAGAAAAATCACAGCGATAAAAAGCAAGATGTCAATCACAAAATTAATTTAGGAATTGCTGTCACTAACAAATACATCCTTATGTTTTTTTCAGTTTGTATTTATTCAAACCTAACTTTCAGCTTTGATTTTTGAAATAGCCCTGCCTTCCAGGCTGAAGAGCTCCCCTCATTTATTTTCAGTCTATAAGCACTCATCTCAAACTATTATTACTATTAGCTCAAAAGTACCAGTAATGTACTTTTTATTGATGAATATCATTCCAATTCATTACTCCAATCCTTGAATTATCCAGTAAGTAGTTAATTGGTGCAAGTTTCCTAACTTACTCTACCAAACCCTCTCTAACCCTCTTATTCTACCAAAATTCTCCAGTTTGGAATAGAAGGTTTAAGACAAAACACCTATTTTTACTTGTCGTGATGTTTGATTTGAACTAAAACCATTTTGGACAACTTAATACAAGTCTATTTTCTTTGACTAAATATTCTCTAAATCCTCATTATTTGTCAAAAAAAAGCCTAAAGCAGTACTTCCCCTGGATGATAAAGCAAAGAAACTAGGTGACTACCCCATTCAGGAATACCAGGAACCTTCCATTTGTAATAATAATTAATGCAACAATAACAATAATAACAATTATATATTAATAATATTAATTTATATATTATAATTATATATTAATAGCATTAATAACAATAATTAATGTAATACAATTCCCCCAACTAGTTATATAACAGTATTACGTACACACTGAAAGATGCAAGTATCAAAGTAATATTGAAATTCAGCTTCAGCTGTCTATAAGACACAGAATTTCTTCAAAGTGATTTTGATGAAGAGAGCACCATGCTCTTCATTTTTCTTCTCCTTTTATCTCTTGAAAGTTCACTTTTATTAATACTACCTGCATGCCCCTGGGCACATGACTTTTAACATTAGCGCACTGAGACACAATTATTTACTTGTACCCTGCTTGGAGGGCAATTATAACTATGCAAACTTCTCTACGTAGAAATTTACCCATCTTCTTTGCTATTAAACATTCTCTCTTCCAAATTCTTAAAAATTCTATCACTAATGATTTTCCTCAAATTGTTGACTCAAAAAAAAAGAGACAAGTTTTCTGTATACCCCATTAGAAGTATAGATATGTGATGATTACTCCCTTTTTCTAATTAAACTTTCAGATTAATCAGTGTTTTTGCCTATATGTTACACAAAATTGGACATGAGACATGTCTGGACAAAATATGTACTAGAAATAGATAGACCGGTATTAGTTATATTAGCAGTTCTAAGCTCTGAGAGATGGAATAGCAAACAGTCAAAATTATTTCCTTTAAAATGGGAAGCTAAAAATGGGAATTAGTTTGATCCAAAACTGAAATTAAAAACAATTGGGAGGCCTAAAATTAACCTTGTAGTGACAATAATACCATTTTATTAATATATTATCACTCCACAAGGTTCTATGTGTAATTAAAGGAATTTATGCTACAGAAAAGAAACTCCAGATGGTAACTACTAATATTTGGAATAGAGTTGAATGTACTAAAATAATAATACTGCCTATATTCTCCAAGCACCTCGAAGTACATTTCATATACCGAGTTAAAGATTAGTAAGTTTAATGAACATAGCAAGGGGTATCAATTAACAAACCAGTAAAACTCATGGCTATTTATCTGAATGAGACACAGAAAATAACACAAAGTGGTTTTCTCCAATTAGATTTCAGTACTTCCACTGACTTCTCAACTTTCATTTGGCCAGCTATCAGAAAAAACAAGAAAAGAGACTCCTTTATAACCTCCTTCAATAAACAGCATGTTTATCAATGACACATCTATGCTTATTCTGAGATGCTGAAACTCTGTGTCAACATCAGGAAGAGAAGAAAATCTATGTCGGTATTCAAATCCGTTAATTCCAGACCCCAAAACAAAAATGCTGGTATTATAACTCAGCTTTGTAATTCAAGAGCAAAATATCAAGGTAATAATATCCCACAGAAGGGAAGGTAATTATAATCCTAGTTTAATAATCTTGTTGTACAAGTACTGACATATACTGGGAAGGCATGGAAAATGACACCGGTTGTCTGATAAACCTGAGGTAGACTAAGATGTATTCATTACAGCCTGATATTGTTTCTCTATCTGTAAAGTATCTACTGCATTTCCTGAGCAGCTGGACTGAATATGACACCTGAATCTGAAGCTGGAATGTTGCTCTTACCTGGTTCAAAATTTCTGCCTTGTGGGACCTACGTCTGCAACTAATTGTTCTTCTGGTCATAAAGCAACTATCCCCAAATCCCTTCTGTTATCAGTGCGCTGGATGATACCTTATGTTCTAATATGTTGAATGGAGGCAGGACCCAGAGAGAAAAGACCAGATGACTAAAAAAAGGTATACGTCATCAGGGGAGCAAAGAAGGCAGAGGGAATATCTGCTTTCAGAAACTGATCATCGAGTCCCATAATCTAAGCTGCACATTAAGCCACCCACGAAAAGACAAAGCTCTTGCACTATCAAGACTCAGTGCATAAAATACAGATAGAATTTCTAACAAATCAGAGAAGTAAGGTAAAATTCTTCAGTGACCCTCTAAATACATTCTGTATGTCAGAAGGAAGTTCTCTTCCTCTGTTTTGTCTTTATTTCTAAGTTTCATAGTGAACGAAGAGAAACAGAATTCTTTTTCTTTCATCCCCACCCACCAGCTACTCAGTAGAAGGGCTCTTAGTGGAGTCTGTTTATTCCTTCATAATCTCTTTGCTGTCTGTTGTATCAGGCAGCCTGAAAAAAGAAGAAATGCATACGTCTGCCATATACTGAGAATTTAAGAAAAAATACACTGAAGGAGCTTTTTTGTTGTCTAAATGTTCACACTAATCCAGTTAAACGAATCTGCAGGCAAAGGCTCAATACAAGCTTCATGGGATTCACATGCGGTTCTGTTACGACGGGGAGAGCAAAATTACTATTCAACATCTTCAAGGCAACAGTCAACAGTAAAACAGAACTAAGAAATTTTGGGGAGAAAGCAATTTGTCATAAGCTTTGAAGAAAAAGAGTATGAGATTGAATCTGTTCTCCTACATAAATGAAACACAAGTATAGATTGCAGTATTGTTTATCGCATAAGCAGCTTATGGACTTGCACTGCATTTCTTTGCTAGAGAATGCCAAGTATTTAACAAATAATCATGTCCTCCACCTCTCCCTTCACAGTTCAGAAAACAAACTGAGAGAGAATAAATTATTTTTCCTAGTCTGATCCACCATGCATGTAGTACTCAGGAGCCTGCCAAGTCTTCATGAACTCCATGCTTTTAAAGTAAGATTCTTCCAAATAACACTTACATTTAATAGTTATAATCAAATTTATACTTTCAGTATTCAAAGGCAAAATTGCCATCCAACTAGTTGAAACATTTGAGCTATGGCAACACAGTCTCCCTTGATATATTCCTGAAGAAAAGATACAGTCCTAAATTACCCACACACAATTTACTTTCTACAATAAAAACAAAAATGTCTATTTTAATAAAATTCTACAGATTCAGGATCAAATTTTTGAGGGACCCTGACTGGCTTATATCCATAGCATTATTTCCATCAGAAGATCTTAGAATAACAAAGTGAAATATAATCATTTTCAATGACATTATATATTGTTCATCACTCCAATAAATGCAACACTTCAAATAATATAAAGAGTTCACAGTATAAGTAACATTTATATAAAGATTGTTATTATTTACCAGTTCTAGAAAACTGCAATTTATTTCTATCTAGCTTGATATACTCATTTTTAAAAAGAGCACTAAACAGATTTTCCCTTCTTCTGATCAATCCCAGGTTGTCTGATGAACCAGACAACCTCTGGTTCATGTCCTCTATTTACTGAATTATTTTAGGGACTTACCCCCAATATCTGGCCGAAGTTTATTGTCATATCCTTGAAGTAAGGAGTCCAGTATATGAGTCACATCCCCACCATGAATCTTTGGTGCAAGGACCCATGTTTTATTCACTGTTGGATCTTCATCATCTTCATCGTCTGCTTTATCAGCTCTAATTGTGATTGAATAAAATAAAATCAAGGTTAGACTTAAACAGTGAAACAGATGTGTGAAGATGAAACTGATAAAATAGCATACATAATATTTGAGGTATTTAATAAACATTCAAATGTATTCTGGTGACAACAGAAAGAGGAAGGCCTTATTTAAAACAGCAACATTTTGTTTTATAGTAGTAGAGAGTGCATGCTAATAAACACATCAAGAGAAGCATTAACCCATCCCACATACAGAAACATTCAAGTCACAAGTCAAACAGAAATGGTACAGATCTTACTGTGAGCCTTTTTTTAAAAAAAATAAAAATAAAAATAAATGGATTTCCTAGATCTTTAATCCTTTTTCAAAACATGTTACTAATATTTCTAAGAAATGCTTAATTATGGCAAAAGATAGCTCCTGGCATCAAAAATATTGCTAGAATTTCTCTCCTTATATGTTCTGTTATACGTATTATATTAAAGATATTTCACCTTTACTCACTTAACTCCATTCAGATCAAGAGAACAAACATTACTTTCATACATTTTGACTAAACATTTACAGCTGGGAGATGAAGCTGTGTTTCAATAACATATCTGGATATATACATGGGATATTCATATGTATGGTATGTATACTTTTTATCAAGATGGTACAAATGCATAAGGAAATACTTGCATATATTTATTGCCTAATTTTTAATTGGGTAAGTAGCAATACAGTTTACTTGCTATTTATTATTTATTTATACAAAGTCATCAGGAAAATGGCAATAGATTGGTTGTGTTTGTGGATTCACTCACATGATCACTGAAAGGTCAAAGAATGCCTGGAAGTAGTTTTCTCTCCATTTGAATCAAATGAGTGTGGACTAAAATATTCCTCCGGTGCTAAAGTCTGCAATTTCTATTACTCATCCAGCATATTTTAGGGAACTGTTATGGCTTCAAGTCAAGGAAAGGGCATCAGACTGATAGCCGTAATTCTGACTGTCATATGACATGTTTTCCTTCACATGGAGGCCATCTAGCAACTATTACATAGCATATAGGATTCTTATAAATCAGTTTCAATGTTAGCATAAGCATAGGTATTCCAGGAAAAGAAAGGAATTAAAATTACTATCCTTACAGCAATTTGCACTGCACGTCAAAATGAAAAAAATGTTACTTTGATATTGTTAGAAATAGCTTTTCAAGATTTTCTCAATTAGAGAGACTTACACAGCTCTCAAGACTAAGGGTGGGATTTTTCAGTACACTTCTTACAGGAATGACCATCACAAGGGAGTTCTACATGGAGACATTATGCCTTCATGGGAGAAGGAGAGAAAAGTCAGGAAATGACAGAGCTGGAATAGGAATTTTTACTTTCATTCTTTGAGCAAATGCACTAAACCAGTCAGTATGCCTAAGACCTTGCACCACTTTGGAAATAGCATTAGTAAGTCTCACTAGTATGACTCCACTCGTGACTTTGGAGATTGTTCAGGTGTTTTGGTACTTCTGCTTAATTTAAGAGCCTAACAGGAAATGTCCCACAATTTAGAAGGTTTCTTACAAGCATGTCATATTAGAGATGGAAATAATATGCAATGTAAATATGAGGTCCCCTGTCTCCCCTGGAATGGCAAAACTTTTATTCTTTAAGGGTTAATATCTCTGTAGCACTACACAGACTTCACAGAAATGTCAGGCACTAAATATTTAGTAACTGCCACTTAGGTGGATTCCACTAATGGAAGCACTAAAAGAAGCAGGAAGTGAAGTTTTGTAGATATTGCCTCAGAGTTTCCTATTGCCTTCTCTTTCATGTTTTGCTATCACGCTTCTTTTTTTTTTTTTTTTTTTTTTTTGGCCCACTTGTAATTATGTAGCCTAATTATGGCAGAAATTGGCTTAAAGTTGTTACCAATGCAGAAGCTCCCCCAGGCCTTCCCTGGGGGGTTAAGATAATGAGGAGTAAAACTGAGCGGATAAACAAATCTCTAAGAAAGGAGACATGATTACAATAAATCTGACCTCCTCCTCTTCCCCTTTTAGGCCTCCACACAGGAAACAGCAGAACATACATGGAAACTACCAAAGCAGGGTCACACCCAGGACACCTGAACCTCAGGATGAGCACAATTATTTGCATGGAATTTGAACTGTGTCCCCTTTCAGGGTCCTTTTCATACTGCTATTGAGAGCAGTCTAGACCTAACCAGCAATGAAAATGACAGGAGGTCATGTCCAAGGCCCACATCTGCCCCAGTCCCACAGTCGTGCTACCTCCACACATCCACTAGTATATTCTGCCAGCTTAAACAGTTCTTCATCAATTTATTTGTAGTAGATTCACAGGATAAACCAGGCTGAATTGTTTAGGTTGGCTGACTCCAACCTAAACAATTCTATGATTCTATGACTCTAGTCCAACCTCCTGATCAAGCAGGTCCAGCTGTGAGATCAGACCTGGTCACTTTAACCAGCTGGGTCTTAAGAATATCCAAGGATGGAGCCTGAACCACCTGTCTGGACAACCTACTTCACTGCTCCACTGTCCTCATGGTAAAAACATTTTTACTGATCACCCTTTTCCAAATATCCCATAGTTCAATTAAGATTTTTTTTCTCTATAATGCTCCTCTCCACTTTTCTCACTTTTACTATTTAGTGTATTTAGATATACCTGAAATAAAAAAAAATAAAAAATAAAAAATAAAAAAACACACAAGTGTATTCAGTCCTCCAGCTTTAAAACTCTAAACTACAGAGAGTACACAACTTCCTGTAAGCTTTGTAAACTGTTAATGTCCTCATGTATTAACAATGCAGTACCAGGTGGACAAAGGAGAAATGAAGGAACTATTCAACATTTATCTCAAAAAAAAAAAAAAAAAAAAAAAACACACACAAACCACACACACAATACTAGCAAGTTTGAATAAATCTACTTGGTTGGTTAACAAGATCTTGTGACTAACTAATCCCTCAGTCAAACCACTAGAGGAACCAATAGAAATTAATACTAGCAAGTTTGAATAACACACAGTCACAGTGAAAGGGACTATTCTCCATTCTTCCTGTTCCCATCTTACTGGTTTTTTCAGAGATGACTGACTGTGTTTAACCCATCCTGCTACCCCACATTACCATCTTCTTAACACTTGCTTAAAAAGTGAACAAGAACAAGTAACAAAAACTACTATGTCTTTGCAGCATTAACGGCATCCTGCGTCTTTTATTTGCAAGTCTGGCAAGTAACATTCAATGGCACAATCAAGACAAGACAGAAATGCTGCTGTCTTGGAAGGGAGCAGACATAGCAAGCCTTCTACATGCCCTCCAGTGAAGCAGTGCACACTTCAACTCTTAATGACAAGAAGCTCCACCCTCACTTTCTTTAACATTAGTACTTTCCCCTCTCACAATCCTAAGAAGAAAGGTAAACTTACTTTAAAGGAAGATTCTTTTTCTTTCCAAGTTCATCTAAAAGCTATTTCACTATATACAGGACATAATACTTGATTCTCTCTCCATTTGCTGTAAGATACAATTTATCTCAACAAAAATCACTCTGTAGATCTTTTTCCGAATGTCTGGAAAGAGAATGATTCAGAGCAAAAATATGACATCAAATGTTACAAAATTTCTGCTCCATGGTGCAGTGCAGTGCAGATTGATGCAGATTTCAATGACTTTATGAGCAAGAAAGAGACTTCATTTCTTAGCACGGTTGTGTTCAAGACTCCTACTAACCTCCAAAGTCAACAGTAGCTCAGAGTATACAGTTAATAATAATTAGGCAAAAAGTGCCCTAATTATGCTCTCTGTCCTTCAACTAATTGGAGACATTACCATGACTAATAAATCCCTGAGCCCAAGTGACTAATGACTGAATAAGTCTTTTCAACATTAGGCAACATGCTCATCTTCAGACATTAATATCATAGGTCTTTGTTCTACTTCAAATATAAGGGAAAAAAACAATCAGATGAGCTTTAAAATGCAATTAACATCTGTCAGGTTATGTAATGAAGTGAAAAAAATGGATATAGTGAGAGTGCTCCCAGTGCCATTTGCATCATGCACATTATTAAATACTACATGTGCAATTCCATGTACGCTATAAACTCAACAGAAGTAAGAATCCCACTCTCAGGCTCCTATTCCCACCCAATTGAAGAGACCAATCCCAGATTTGCTGTTCTGTGAGTGAAGTGATTTTTCAGCTAAAATACACGCAGACAAGGGGAGGGAGTCAGTGCTTCATATTCCAGAAGAAAGTAGCTATACAGACCAAGAGTCACATCTGCTCCCAACAGGCGCTGCCTTCGGGAGACTGCATCATGACAGAGCACTACACACAACGGAAATTGGTCACAACATGATCATTCCAAGAATAAGGTTCACAAAAGTTAAAAAACATAGAAGACTCCACAAGCAATAACTGTGCTCTCCTGATTCTTACGCCTAAGGTCCCGGGCAGCCCATACACTTTTGCCACAAGATACACAAGAAGATAACGGAGCACTAAACATGCCTTAGGACAGCTGCTAGTCACCGCCTGGGCTGCCCTGCTTATTACATTTAGGTAGTACAATACAGTTTAACCTCTCTTTTCTAGTACATTTTTTAAAGTACAGGTTTTTAAATCTGGAACAACATGACAACATTTTCCAAATTGCAAACATGGGAGGTGTTAGTAATGATACAATTTGAAAAGTGTTCCTCCCTCCCCTAGTTGATGCACTTAATGAGACAATGCTTCATAACTCAGGCCAGACACCATTTTCAGGAAAGCAACTGCTTCCAACTAGTCAGGCACCTAACTACACATTGTTCTATTCCAGAATACACTATATGCAAAAGTGTATTTGGTGGCCTGCCAGTCAGAGTTCAGATGTTGGATGACCTAACCAAACCGTATGCATTAAAAAAAGAAAAAAAAAGCGTATTGCTGGAAAAAAAAAATCAAAATATGGGCACTAACATCCACATCAGTTTATTTTTAAAGAAGCTGGTG